AGCGTGTGAAAGGAATTAGAGATTATTATTGCGTGGTAAGACTTTCCGGAAGTCAGAAGAAGATAACTTATAGTTTCTTGTCAAAAGAAAACTATTTGTTGGAGACGGAGGAATATGGAAATGGAATGTGTGGGAGGTCTGATAGGCATGAGGCGATGAATTTTATACGAATTATATATTTGGGTAGACAAGGATATTTGTGATTGTTCCCCGTAAACAATTTGGATTTTAGGAAATAGCCGACTTAACCGAACGGAGATATATGAAACGTGGTGGTTTTACCTACTATTTTAGGGAACCAGTGGAAATCCAAATGTGGGATCACATCAACGTAACTATACATCAATTAACACAATACAAGTTCATGTGAATTATCATCATTGCAGTAATAAGAAACAAAGTACTACAACTTGTTTGTCAATTTTACGAAAGAAATGATGAAAAGAATGCAGACAATCTGAAACAATCAAACAACCCAAACAACCTGTCCATTGGTCCCTTCATGATTAGTGTTGTACGAAAACTGGGTTTCATCTTGAGTTGTACATCGTTATATGCATTCGATACATTTACATCCCATGGTCCTACAAGAGAACCTTAAAAGCATAAAGGGGAGGGGTTGAAGCCCAACTCGTCCTTGACATAATCGCACCCAGGTCTTTTCTGTTATGATATTTCCATTCATACTATACGTTCTGTATTTCGTTGTTCATTTGTATTAACTATTTATAGACCAGAACCCTCATTCACCCAAGCAAGGGTTTTGACTTGAAAAAGAAATGCAGGAAAAAAAAGCTTAAGCCTAATCGGCCGTTCATTTGGTTCATCAACCAATCAATGACCGTTATTTTATCTACTACGTAAATTACATCCCGGAAATCGAACATTCTGTATACTAAAACACATATAATAATTAGCTAAAAATAATCAACCAACCAATCAACCAACCAACCGGCTATCGTCGGCTGATTGTTGTCCAACCAAGACAATTATTGTAAAGTATTCATGCCTCCGATGGGAATGATCAGTAGCGTCGAGTGTCACATATTTGTTCATGTCGCTTTTTATGTCGATACAGCATATCGTTTGGATTCGCCGGCCAAAAAAAATAAAGAACAATATCCGCATTTGAACAAAATACAAAAGACTGTTTGCTCGGATTAATTGTTATACCCGTCTATAATTACTCTGATCAATAGAAATGAGGGGGTGGGATCGATTGTTTGAAGGAGTGAGCGAAAAAATGAACTGTAATTATCAAACTAAACAATATATGAAAATGGACTAGATCAACTTTTTCTCATAAATTAAATAATTTTCTTGTAAAGTCTTTGTTTAACAAATATAATTGTTTGTCGAATTGGTTATCTTTGGCCAGAAATTTAGCACGTTTATTATCTTATTTTTTTTATGCTTATGCTAATACGATTACTTAGAACATCTTATTAAATCTTAATAAAACGCAAATTGTCTTAACATTTTAGTTTGCCCTGTTAAAGTATTTTATTATATTTGGATATGAATTAAAATCGTTTCCATAATTGTAAACATATCGTTACATAAAAATGATTATTTACTAAATCAATATTATATGCATCAAAAATGACAAACAAACTTCGATGTCTTGTTCGATTCTAACGTGTTATCATATACAGTGAAATTGTTTCAACCCAGATCTGTACCAATCGTTTCACAAGGTTATTTACTCGGTAAATTCAAAATCGATAATAATAATGTATTACTTTAAACATGTATCGCCGGAATAACCCGATACAGTTCCAAAATAACGCATTCATGTCAATATCGAATATTAGATTCGCATCTTCATACTATGCGATGCATTTCCACAGATCTTTATATAAAAAAAAAAGGATCGATCGGAACATTCTTTATTGAACTATGATATTAACCTCAATCATGAACTGTCAGACATATTGCCACAACAATGGTTAAAGACCATACACTTGATAATAAATCCAGTATACTATAAAACTCGACAAACAAATGTCATGGTTTTTGACCCCTTTTTCTCTATACCGAGAGATGCAATATACAGCAGATCATGTGATACATCCTTTATTATATTTAAATCTTGGAGCTATAGTAATAGTATACGATTAAAACATAATAATAAGCTTTATTAAAACATGTCTGCAGATTGATGATATATTCATTAGTTTGAAATGATACAAAGAATTTTTCATATATGATCGGCAAAGCTTCATATAGATTCTCTAACAATTTTCGCGTTTCTTTCTTTTAACAAGTTGTTCTACCTAATGCGTTGTCCTATTTTTCAGAAAGACAGGACAGGACTGGAGAGTTTCTCAGATAATTTGCTGACAGGATGTACAGCTTCTTACGAAAAATGCCTTTTGACAATTTCATAAATACTGACGGTATTCACAACTTTAGACATACAGCGTGCGTATCGTACGATTGAGTGCCAGCGACTAATCTACTATTGTCATGCTATAACATGTTGCATGCCATGCGGTTGAGTAAGTGGCTCGTAGGATATAAAACGTTTATCGGTATGTAGGATCGTGTCGCTCACGGAAATACATTTCACAATTTTAGAATCGTAATATCCAAAGTAGAAACAAAATTATACGAAATTCAAGTATCCTCGTTACTTCGTACTAGACGCCAAAGAACGTAATCTTGGTTGCTGAAGTAACGATTACAATACGACACGAAATAATTTAACGTAATGCTAACGCAAATATTTCGACAATTTGGAATTAAAGCGCGTCATGTAAATAAAAAAAATACACATTTTTACCAAAAATTTTGCAATTATCTATTAATAACCTTCGAAAGTCGGGAATTATAAAGCACGAAAAGTGCGGACCAACTACTAATTGTTACAGCATATAGAAATAACCCTGATTGGCGTGCGACGTCAACCTTTGCAGTCGATGACACATCAATTACTGCCAGTGAGTTAAACGACGCCACCACGCATAGCAGAGGCGCGTAAGAAATTACTGAAAAAGAAAAAAAAATGTTGAGGTGCAGCAATCGCAAGGCAAACTTTATCCACGGGAAACTTTGGAGCAAAATCGACAGTCAGTCACCAGATTTTTTTCAAGATAGTTGTGATTTAACTTTGACACTTATTTTCCGATGGACGTATCTCTCAACAATTCTTGGTTGATACAACAACGATATGCTTCCAGGACGACAAGCCAGTATATATGACGTGATATTAATCCCATCACAATCCATTAAGTCAAATCAAAAAAGCGTAGAAAACACTGTGATAAATTAGCCGAGTCGAGTGGAATATAATTCAAAAAATCACGTCATTAATATTTATTAGTTTAATGAGAGACAAATGTACGCCCATAATAGTGAAAAATGAAAGACAAAATTTATATTAACTTTTGTAATAGATATTCTATCAAACGGGATATTAATGATATCAGTACAGTTGTTGGCTGTAAATGGCTTTTTCTTTCCTATTATCAATAAACAAAGGTTAGAGCACAATGTAATCTGCATCTCCGTCTTCTGCTGCAGATACCACTAGTTGCTAGAATAAAGAGAAAACGTCGTGCTCTGTTTGTTACTAACAATAATTTTGAGATTCGAATGGTGTGTAATGTAATAACAGTTGGATGTTGCACCAATTATTTATCTATTTATGTATTGCAGCATAATTGCGCTAAATAGCTTACTGTTAACATATTTGTACAAAAAAGTTGTGTCTATGTTTAGAACCTGTCTTAGTCTAGAATCAATTGTCTCAGTCCAGAATTGAAATAAGTCTCAACTGAAATACAACACAGGTGTACGTTCGATTTTTTGTTGCGTCACTGAGTCGACAACTACAACCGACTAGTAAATTTTATTTATTTAGCGATATATTAAAGAATAATATATTAGAGACACGCTTTACAGCCCACTTTCTTTTCAACGTCTTACATGGAATGTGTTATAAGAAAAACATATTACAGTGTTGGCGAAGAACTATTACACGTATTCTTGGTAGCAAATTTACAATATTTTGTTACATACCAATTACAACAATATGTAGACTTCTAACAATTGTTGTCTCTCTGCATTAACTCTAGACAGTTGGATTTAATTTGCATCTTAAGTAACTACATTGCTGAAACAATTTTTGAATCTCATCGCCAATATTGTATGAACAAACATTAGTTTAAATTTTCCTCGTTTGTAAGCAAATGTTTTAAATAATATAGAGGTTTTGAGGTCTTTATTCAGCACATTTCAATAATATAGATATTGGCGTCAAGCATTTAAGAACCATCTGGATAAAGACATTTTATGCGTTTTGAGAAGCAATTTGTTATTCATGTAAACCAGGTATAAATATACACTTAACATTAATTATACAATACTGCAATAACGAGAGTCGTTCATTTCCCCGACACCCACTTCCCGACAGTTCATTTCCCCGACAATAATTCCTGCTGAAATTATCTATATATGGGAATAATTGTCAGAAAAATAAAGTGTCGGGGAAATAAAGTGTCGGGGAAATGAACTAGACCCGCAATAACAATGCTAACAAAATCAAAATCTTCGCTTTATGGATTGCGCAGTAGATGTAACATTTATGCAATGAATGGTACATCAATTATTGATAAACCAAGGAACTGATGTTTATAAATTTTTGCCGAGCGTTCGGATAAATTTATTTAATAACAATAAATTGCATCGATTCAGTACTGCTTAAGACTTATGTACAATATCTAAATACTAAATACGTTATATATCGCATAATGGCATCGCAGATGTTCAAAGAAACCGTACGAGTTGACAACATGCACGCCGGTTTTAATAGGTCGTCCATGTCTTAGTTATATCACGAAACACACAATTTGATTGGTAGATGAAATAATTAGATGCGTTTTTGACGAGAGCGGTTATTATTATCTGAAGAAAACAGTAAAGCAATTTTACGGAATTCTGCTTTAATCAACTTGACACTATTAATGGCGAGAGTTTAATTGGTGTAATGGTAAATTTAACATTAAACCAATTCAAGCAAGAACTATTATGCAGGGGTTAAACTAACAAAAGAATAAAACCTTTCAAATAAAATTTGTATTAGAAAGCATGCAGATTTAAGTGTAAATAGATTATTATTATATCTCAGAAGTTGAATATTTGCAACGTCACAGGACAAAATTGGGGTTTCAAAGAACAAGCTGGTTTGTAGCATAACGGG